CGCTGTTTAAGTCCAAAAAGCTCGAATTTACTCTTGTCCGTCCACAGAACTCGTTTCCAGAACTCCACGGGTTGATTTACGTACTTTCTTGCAAATTCGAATCGCTTTTTCTTATTTCTATTATTAATTAACGGGTGCTTACATGCGAAACGACTCTGCAAATCTACTTCGTGCAGTCTCCTGCGCACTCTCCGATCAGAAACGGACAGATTGAGTGATTCACGAAGATTCCTGATAGTTATCCTCCAATTTGTGCTTCGCGTTCTACCCCTCCCAGACCGATCAGCCACTGTTCCGGTGTTCAAAAATTTCTTATAAAGTTTCTGGACAGTACTCTTGCTGACATCGCATTTCTCAGCGATTTTCCGTTGTGAAACACCACACTTACAGTCTTTGATAATCAGATTTCGAACCTGATAGGAAATTTGTCGACCCGTCATATTCACTACCTTTCTATACACTGTTACGCTTTCTTTAACATGTAACCAGGAACTGTTAGTTTGAGGCAACTGTTAGCTACGTGCTGCGTACATAGTATGCACGGTACATCGCATTTACACGTCACAATTAAATAAATGCGCAACAAATTCTAGGGCGGTCACTTTTTTGCCATACATGAGAATGTCTGTTTTGTTAAAATCAAGTTGCAAGTACTTGTTATTGTAAATATTCTTTTAATTTTTGTATCAAATTATTGGTATGACAGTAAACCTTTCAAAAAAGCTCGATAATAGTATCCTTGTTCAATAAAAACATTAGTTTTAAGATATTCTGTATTGGATATAAGATGGTCACTTTATTATGCCGGTCGCTGTAGATTGTCTTGAGCACACACTAACATAACGCAATATTCTTCGTAAAAAAGAATTAGCTTGTGAATGTCAAAATATATATAGTTATTTTATAAGAATGTGACGTATATTTTTAATATTTTGTAGGCACGTTTAATGTTTAAATCCCGAAATTTATACAGCCTCTAATATTAAGACCACGTACGAAAATTTTACTTTTATGATTATAACATTGTCATGTACGGAAAATTATCTTTTAATCGTGCCAATTATTACTAAATACGATGATAACGATATACATATACCCTGCAACTGATTTGTTACTATCATGATAGTAATCAAATTGTGTGGGTGATGAGCGATTAAGGGCCGTGTGAGCATTTACGTTAGGCTCGAGAATCGACAGCGCAAGGTCAAATGTGATGAGTGCCGCCTATTCAAAAGATTAGTTTACAACTCCCCATCACTATATTATCTGTATTCAAAACAAGAATTACAGATATATGTGACAATAATGAAGATATAAAAACGAAGAATAAAATCAAAGGATAGAAATACAACATATTAACATGCGTTAATAATGTTATCAATAATGACGTATCATGTTAGCAGCTAATAAATAGTATTATTACAGTTTGAACAGGCCTTTTAACCAGTTAAGTGTATTTGACGACTATATCCATCATGGAGACGTGGCAGAATTTTGTGTCATGGCGACTATATCCGTCATGCGTAAAATTTTGTTACAATTTCATAATTAAATTGTAATTTTGATGAAAACTAAATTATATTCGTAAATTGTAATATGTTTAAAATGTTTAGAGGTCAACACGAAATGAAATAAACAAATAAAAAGTGTAAATGATTTGAGATGGATTCATAAATTCTTGAGAGCTAACTCGTCATCGCTTGATTATCGCGACACACACTGGAGCGCGCTTTGCAAAAAGATCGCCACAGTTAACTGGTTAATTTCACGAAGAACGTGAAAAATGCTGAAAATTTGTAGTGGTCATAATTTGACGGCCAGGAACTGTAAATCTTAATTGTACAGTGACTAGTATTAGCAACTGTTTCATGTTCACAAACATTGTAGCAAAATGTAGGTACTCCAAGAGAGTTGCCAAGTACATTTGCCAAGAGACCGAAATAATTCAAACAAAACAGCTTCCTAATGAATAAGTTTAGGGCATAAGTATGTTAGTATTTTTATGTAGAGAACAAGAAACTGCGTCGATTGGTGCAGTCAAAAATATACATTTCCAATTAAAAAAACAGTACAGTTGCATATTTCTTGTGCATCAATGCACAAAATTGGTTGCATAATATGCATTGTCTGATACAGTTTAACTTTTAAGCATAACATTTTATTTTATTTTCAAATGTTTGGGAGCCTGTTACATAGGACATACAGGGTAAATCGTGATAGGATTCTATTAGTATCTTAAAGGATACTATTAGACAGAAAAGTAAGAATCTTATACTTTGAAAAATTAAATATGATCGTGTCATTATAATGTACTACAGGGTGAATCACGAACAGTGGCCAGTAGAAATTACTCTGTTATTAACAGTCCGATGGAAAATATTTTTATCAGTTTTTGACGAAGGAACTAATCTGCGGATTATTTGCTACTGCAGCTGAAACAATAAGTTCATTTGCATTGTTCGTCTTAGATTTTAGATAATTTTTCTTTCAAGGAAGTAAACGACCAGTATTCTGAAGTGTTTTCCGTGTCTACCCATAAATGCGTCGCGAAGGTTGACGTTTATCGGGAAATCATTCAGCGTATATCTGCCGAGTGAACATTGCATTACGTCCGCACTCCCCATAGATCATAATCACCAACTTTCTATCAATACTATAACTCAAGATTATAACCTATACGATAAAGTCGACTAACAACATACTTATTCAGATATCATTAGATATGTTACAATGTACACTACCATCCATAAGTATCCGGACACAAGCGAAATATGCATTCGCGTTGCATGAAAGTTGTTCAAATATCTGCAACAGTAACTAAAATCGATTTTTTTTTCTGCGAAGGTCAGAATACTGGAACGTTTTTCGATTGATAATTCTCGTTTGGAACTCATAGCTCGATGGAAAAGAAGCTACAGACGAACTAAGCCAAAACTGTCGTATGCCGTTGGGCTAATGACCATGGCAGTCGATGCCCATAACATTAATCATCATCATCATCATCATCGTATGCCGTAGCGTTACCTCTCGAGTGCGTAGCGTTACCTCCATTCTTATCTCCATTGAGGGAACCTAAACATCTACCAACAGTTTACAAACACTTGAAACATATCGAAGAACCCTCTGAATACATTCTGCATCATAAAAATGAATCACAGTAGAAATTGAAATTTTTTTTAGAATCGAAAGCGGAATTTTACTTTCACACTTTCATTGTATAATGTGTACTTAAAAATTAATTCTATTACGTTATGACACCTCAAGAAAGATAACAATAATTATTACAAATGATATGATAACCCTAAATACCTTTCGTACAAAGTTCAATTATGTTTTATGTAACGAAACCAAGTGTCCAGATACGTATGGACGGTAGTGTACATGTATGTCTACAAACAGTAGGCAAGAGATCAGAACAAATTTCGAGTAACATATAATACTTCTTGTAATATCAAGTTTTTCCATTTTTTCTCCACCCAGACGAAAAAAAAATTATTTCCCGATATCCATTAGATTCGTCTTGAAATCCTCTAATAGATAGAAGTAAAAAATGATATGTTTATTTGCAAAAAATTCACGGTGACCTTGAAAAGATATAAAAAAGGAGCTGAGAAATAATTCTTCATAGTCGCGTTAAAATTCTCTTGAAATCATACAAAAGCCTTTAAAAATATTTTTGATCGAAGTGTTATTAACAGAGTAATTTCACCTGATCACAATTTGTGATTCACCCTGTATAACGTTATAATCACACGACCATATTTAATTTTTCAAAGTGTAAAATTCTTACTTTTCTGTCTAATAGTTTCCTGAGTAGATGTATAAAAAAATACATTTGTACGAATTTTTAGATTTATCACATAATTATGATTAATTATTAAAATATCTTCCTAATCATCATCAATTTTGACTAATTCTTGTTTGTTAAAAAGTTTTTAATCAATAACGAGCAACAACTAGAACCTTCCAGAAATAACTTAGGACAGTGTTCTTGAAAGCACATGTCAAGAACAAGGTCATTGAAACTGATTCCTCTTGTCAATATTTACCGCAATCAATAGTGGACAGTCATGTGGATGAGAAAGTTGATATACAGGTTATCAGTTGCTACTTTTGTATATAATCGAATATATTCGATGTATGAACTTCTCGATATTCTGACTAATTATTTACTAATTAATGAATAATCAGAAAAAGCCGATATAATCCCTGCTTATTCGCATTTTTACAACAGTTATTATTCGCAGAATTCTCAACATTCCTGAAACTACTTTTACACAGCTAACGTTCATGTTATCTTTAACTTCTAATTGGCGATATCTCCGATATCGATGAGTCAACGAAATGAAAAAAGTAAAACTTTTACATTGTTCACTTCATGAATTTCTCTTTCGCTTTTAACAACTGCTTTTTTTCAATGATAATGATATCGAATACGCCTATATTCGAAGAACTTTAGATTAGATACGTGTGTCATATGACTTCACTAGCTTTCAATGTATAATTCCATTCCTATTAGTTACGACTGCATTCCCAAGATGCAATTCTGAATATGCATTTAATTTTGAAACAAATTTCATATTAAAATTAGTATTTAGTATTTTATTGGGAAAAATATGTCCACCTCCAGCTTTTCAAATGTACGCTCTTAGAATGGGATTTTGCAGTTTTCTATTGATACTACGGATGTTGAGTACTTTTAATACTCAAGTTAACTACTTCTTTTACTTTAAGTTAATTACTTCTTTTAACTCAGACTAATAGATAATTTTGCACCATGTGAAAAATGGCTTCCGTGTTCTTATTCCGCGTTTTATGGATGGAAAATCCTCAGTTTAAGTCTTAAGTGAAAATGTAATGATTGAAATTAACGAGGCAAAATCGAAAAGTATAAACGTACCGAAAAATGCATAAATATAATAAAAGCCGTTAGTCTAACACTAGACTTTTATTTCATTATTATTATTTTCTCTAAATTAAATATTTTTTAATTGTTTCAGGATCTGGCAGTGATTAATTTGATACCAGTGATGATATTTGGATTAACGTTTGTATGGATGCCCGAGTCACCTTACTATTATTTGAAAAAGCAAAGACAAAGAGCTGCAGAAGTATCTTTGACATGGTTAAGGAGTCAAATTAACAATGAACAAGAAATAGATGAGATAAAAGCTTTTATAGAAAGCGAAGAGAAAGGTAGCATTAAAAAAGTGTTCACCGTACCAACGCACAGAAAAGCACTCGTGACGTTGATGCTGCTATTTGCGGGTCAACAGATATCTGGACTGATGGCTATTCAGTCTTTCACTAGATTTTTATTACCACAGATAAGTAGAGAAGTGGATATTGAGGCTACCCTCATTATTATAGCCACAATAATCTTAGTGGGAAGTGCAGTAACTGTATTTGTTGCGGACAGATTTGGTAGAAAACCTATACTTCTATTGTCCGCATACACCGTTGCACTAACTCTTCTTGCTGCAGGGGCATACTCTTTTGTTCGTACAAATGTGACGAAACTCGATAACTTGCCTTGGTTACCATTAGTTATAATTGGAGTTCATTGCTTTGTCTATTCCTTTGGTTTAGGTTCTATCCCGACAATCGTGTCCTCGGAAATCTTTCCAATGAAAGTGAAAAGTTTGGCAGTCATGGTCGCAAATATCTTTTCATTTCTAGTAGCTTTGGTAGTCACTATATGTTATCCATTCGTAGTCGATGCGTATGGTTATTACATAGTATTCTTTGTTTTTGGTGTACTCGAACTTATAGTCGCAATTGCTACAACTATCATTATGCCAGAAACGTCGCAAAAACCTTTCATAAAAATTCAAGAGATTTTGAAAGAAAGTACAGATAACAAGGTAAACGAACCCTCAACCAGCACAGCAGAACCAGTTAAAGTTAAAGAAGACACGGCATAATTTAAGATGAATGTGGAAACAATGCAATGGAAATCATATTATTTTTTAAGAAGTTCGGATTCAACACATACATGCAGACTGTATTAAAAAGTAAAGATATTTGAACAACGAAATATATATTTTTATAACGAAACAAGTAAATACAGTACTGAAAGGAAAGAAAATGTTAAAGTTTTCATTGCACCTTCTCCTTAATAATCTTTACATCAAAGGCTGACTAAATTACGTATTTATTTACATTCTCTTGCACTATAACATAATATTGTTTGTATAGACACATATTTATCGGGAATATAAATTATAAAATTTTTGTAAAAATGGAAATTATAATATCTTTGTAAAGTTTGAAATTATAATATCTTTGTGTAATATCGCATAAGAATTTTCCATACCTTTTTCTTTTAATTACCAATTATAAAATTACCGACGGTACAATAAACAATAATTTGGAGCTTCAATCATCATACGTACTCAGCTGATTTTTAACTCACGATTAAATCGTCGATCGATGACACGCACTTCGGTTAAACGAGGACGGTAAATCTAATTCACGAAAAATAAAATTATTAAATTACTATTTAATGTATTCTATTTGTTCATTAATATCTTATTAAGGAATTTAAAATTATATGCAAAATTATCGCGTTTACACGCCAATGCTTAATCTGCGATTTCTGATCTACTCCCGATTAAATTATTATAAATTGACATTTAACTATTAAAGCTATTGAATATTAATTTATCATAAATTAATAAATATTTTTAACTATCATTTCCATGCATTTTCCTGATTAAATAAAAAAATTTGAAGTTATAATAATTTTTTACACGCCTAGGCATACGCATTTGGCGGGAAAATCTGGTCTCGCCGAAGTATAAAAATAGGCAGACACAGCAGACACTACAGCGGTAGAACAATCTTCGACTTACAAGGGATGTTACCCAATCGACACACGCCGATTTTTATGCGCTTTGAGTATGATATAAAGCGCAAAAAAATATTTGACACGTATTTTTTTTTTATCGGCCATCGTCCATGCGGAAGGGGTGAAAATATCCTTCAAAGTTGGGGTTGCAAAACATATTTTCTCGAATACCTGAGGAACTATTAGGTCTAGACAAAAAATTCAACGTGCAAATTTTTCTGTTTTAGAAGGCCAATAATATAGCGTAAGTGGATTTTTGAAAAATTTATTTGTTTAAAAAATATGTTAAAAATTAACATTATTTTGCCAATTTTTTGAATAAAACGTTGTACCATTTTGATCAAATTTCACATACATAAACTGTGAGTCCAAAGAAAAAATATGGATAAATTGGAATTTTTAATTTCGTTTGTGGAAAAAATATTACTGTCGTTGAAGTTATACGTACATTTTATACCTTCTGTCCGGTGCACGACTGATTTTTATACACAGTATTCTGGAATTTTTATTTTATTACATTTTTATACTAATTTATTTAAAAAAAGAACTTAAGAGTCCATAGGTGCCTTTATAAAAATATGAGGCTCGAGGTAGATATCCTATTTGTTCCGCGTTATTGGCGCGTACTGGGGGCAGTATTCGACGCACGAAAGATCTTGACGCGTAAATTGTACTTGTGCCAAGTGTAATATCTTCATAATAATGTAGAATACATGTTGTGAATGTGATTGTTAATGTAGAATACATGTCGATTAAGAATTGCTTCGCGACCATCAGTCACAGAGTCCGGTCGCTGAAGACCACGTTTTGAGTGGAAGTCCATGTTTCCAGTTAATGAGCAATTGTCTGTCTAATTATAAAGTCAAACTAATGAATAACTGTTGTAACAATAAGTCCGGCCAGTTCGTTGAATTAATTTAAAGTAGCTTTTCTAGTATTATTTCCAATAATCGAATATTGTTCTGTCATAATTTAGGATCGCGTTAATTGTTATGCATAGCATCGCTAGTATACCATTAGTATAACCGTTTTATCATCAAATTCTTTGTCTAATTACCGAACATCATAGAATCTTTTATTTCTTCGCGACATAATAGAATAGATATACTTTTTTAACGTCGTTTCTTAATCAAAATTATTCAATAAATGCAGAATTTTTAAATTCTGTTGAGCATCATTATCGATATACTACATAACCAAAATCCGTCTAACTCACTGACTCAGTCACTCATCGAAATGTTTGAATACTTCCTGACATGTTAGAAATTTGCGGTCTTTTGCAATCAATTCCTCACGTCAACATTGGAAATACAAAAATTGTCATATGTTCAAATTTTCCGCTTGAATAAAAGTTATGAGGATAAAAATGCCTACATGCACGAAGTATGTAAAACTGTAAAGAGGTCGAAAGAACGCTTCTAAACAGAGTGTCCCGCGACTAAAACGAGTAATTATCATAATATCATACCACTAAGTTAACCATATTGAAAATTGTAATCGTTTCCTGATATATGACGATTGAATTAATCATACGTACTGATTACATTTGTTTTAATTAGTTCAGTTAATTACATTCATCTAGCAATAATAATCATTAGTTATTGAATATGATTTCACATTAGTTGCAAGTCAGTCGTTAAAGTTAGTGGCTCGTAACTAAAATAAGTGGAGGTACTATTAGAGAAAATTTTTAGCCTTTGTTGAAAAATTGTGTAAAAGGAAGCGAACAGTTGTGAAAAGAAAATTTATTTAGAAATTTAATAAAATCCTAAAAGAACAAAATCAAACATTTTTTATTTACTGTTATATACGCGATGGAGGAAGTAGTCCCATGAGCGGACTGCGCGACGCAATCACGAAGACCACCGAGGATACCCGAACGGTGCCGAGCGGGAACCGCGCGAGATTTCAACTGTCTTTTGTTTCTACCGTTTTCTTCTCTCTCGTCTATGCGTGGCGTCATTCTCGATTTATCGCACGCGATGTTAAGATCGATGTTAATAAAGTTATTCGTTAAGAAGTGCTCCTTGTTCATTTCCGCCTAATTTACTTACTATGTTATCGATAATATCAATTGAAAATAGGGTTTTCTACAGTTCCACAGTGCCTATGCGCGACCCGCCACTGATCAAAATACATTTTACTTAACTTTGAAAAAATATAGTTGGACTAATATCCAAACCTCTTAAAGTCAATCCCATATTTTTATGAACTATTGCGACATAGCCAAAACGATATACTTTTTATGCAGGCTTATCATGATAATCCTCAGGTAAGGCGTATATAATATTATAAATAACAACAAACACTTTATTAATTTTAAATTCTTGAATAAACTCCAGAATCGATCCATCTATAAAATTTGTCACATACAGCGGATGATTTTTAAAAATCCTGCCAAATAATTTTACTTGTATTAAATAACTTACTCAGTTTGTCAAACATTTGAAAGCAATGTTGAAATAATTAACAGTTGCACGTTACGAAAAACAAATAAATAATAGACAAATTATAAAAAAATATCAACCAAATTCTCTTTATTGTTTCAAAATCTATTTATTGTTTACATTTATTTACATTCATTTACAAAATGTTATCTAAGCGAATAATATCGAAAATAACCAATTTTTAACATTTTCAACTTTTAAAGTTTTTAAATATTTCAATACATATTACAAACTTAAGGGTTTCATTTATACAACTCAAACTTAAATAAAAAGTTTACAAGAAAAACGATTATAGTTCATTTTAAACAAAAATTAAGATTTTACAATTATGCATTAAAACTTAAGATAGAACTATCAAATTATAATATAATAAGACGAGAAAAGGAATACAGTGCAAAAAATTGAGGTTCAAAAAATACTAATTTCAGTATATAAAATGAACTATATCAGATTTTTTTAATAAAAAATGTCGCATTCCGATCGTGGATTTGATAAATTATTACATCTTCATTTTTTTCAATACAAAAAATTGAATGCAGTCCCTATAAGAGTTGATGTTTAAAAAAGCTTACTGGTTTAAATTTGTTATCCTCAATTAAACTAAATGTTACCTAACAAATTTCCTAATTTGTAGTATTTACACATTCTTTTATTCAGAAGCGAGCCTTTTTACATCTCAGCAATATTTTTTCTACAACAACAAAAATTAACATTTAATTAAAAATGATCAACAATAGTTATTCAGTAATGTACAATACATGTTATTAAATAATTATATTCATTGCTTCGGTTACTTTGGTACACAATTTGAATATAAAGTCTATAACTAAGGAGATCCGGTAGGATACATAATAATACAGTAAAGTCTTGACATAAATCAATTATTCAATGAACTTTTACTTATACTGTATGTGGGATTCGGTAAAGGGCAATTAATTTTTGCGTGGTATGAGTGTGTGTGAAGTACGAGTGTGTGGAACAAAAGAGTGCGAATGCGAAATATATAAAAGCGCGACAGCGTCGAAAGCGAGAGAGTATTGACCGAACCGTGGAAACGTTAACTATAATCGTAAACTTTAATTTTGTGTATTCCTTCCAAATTATTAAAATCTACTATTACTTTAATCCGTTATCTAATCTTCTTGCTCCCATCCTACATGTATAGTTCCTATACTAATTGAAGTTTGCTTATCAGCTGAAATAACGGGGATTGAGGTTACAATAATATTGCAAGCAATATCAAGTAATTATAAGATTAATACAGGACAATTTGAAGCACATGCCATGGGACACAGCCAAATTACATTCGATTATATCCATGGCATTCAATGACTCCCACTACACACAAAATCTTAATTCATGGTCCGGTGATCATAGAATATGCTATGTTGCCCATCGATCAACTATCCGAAAAAGCAGCTGAAGCTAGAAATAAACATTTTCGAATATACAGAGAAAATTATTCTAGAAAATGTCCTAGAGAAGCGTGTAACCTGGGTGCAATAAATACGCTTCTGCTCACTTTCGATCCATACTGAACAAGTACAGGAAAAGTACAAAAAAATCCCATCCAAATTTCCTCTATTAAGGAAATGGAGGAAGTTAAGATTGCAAGGTGTACAAAAAGGAATTCTCTCAATGGCTATGACAATGCCTTTAGTTCCACCGGATATGCTTCCAGAGACGTTACATCAAATGCAGTTAATTGCAGATTGTTTATATGGCACTTTCCCGAATGTGCTCCTGCTTATGACATATCTACGCAATGTGTGGTTACCTATTTCTTCGAAGGTCAGCGTATTAGCGTGTCCCAAAAGTTTCTTTCCCTTCGGGCTATAAGTGGTCTCATCTGGCTCTGCTTGTGTAAACATGCAGACTTATCTATTAGA